GTTGGGCACATATGGGGCATCGGTCTGCAAAACGGCCGAACAGGGAGGGATTGTCCTCCGATGTAGATACGTAAGGGAAGGTCATGTGTACGGAAGGTAATTTTGGCAATGTTGGTTGGATTCTTTCGTTGACCTTTAGGAGGAATGGTGTAGCAATGTACTGATTTCACATCTTGGTCTTTGAGGCATCCTAATAAGTCTTCTCCACAGTCTGACCAATCTTTGGTATTGACTGGGCAGTTTGCTGGGGAGAGAGAGACAGTTCCGGTACAGGTATTAGAGGTTGGTGGGAAGGGGCAGAAGGATGTGGGTTTGCCAAGAATATCAGTTAACTGATCTATCAGTTAGAGATTTCAGACTGACTGATACTGTTACTCGATCATACCCATATAGAAAGGGTGTACCTACTAGAAGCCCATCCCAAAAATGTTGCTGAGTAAAAGCTGTAGAAGGGATTCACAAAAAATCGGTCCCATTTAGCTGGGCTAAAAGAGTATTAAGATCTGTAGGGTTGGTGGTGGTGGATGGTCAGGGACGTGTGGAAGAGGGAGTATTACGGAATGATGGAGAATAAGGCTGCAAGGTAGTAATAAGGGAGGATTGGTTGCTTGATGAAAGTTGCATGGGTAGAGTTGATGAATTTGAAGAAGTTGGGTGGGTAGAAATGTCTTCTGGAGATTGATTCTCTGCTTGGGTGGGTAATGCACTAGTAGGCATTGAGGAGTGGGTAGTAGTTTCTGTGTTCGGAGCCGTGGTCAAAGAAGAGCCTGGGTTGGGGCTATTTGTTAAAGGGGCTAGCCTCTAATAAAGGGATTACATTTTCATTACTGGTCATGGGGAACCTGGATTATATGAAAGGCATTAATTGGTCCACCTCCATCGCTAGTGAAAGGTAAGGGCTAGATTAGTTGGGAGTACCGCGCCCATAGTTCCCGCAGGCCGTTCAGGACTGGCACAAGGTCAGCCTTTCATCCTCTCAGCATGGCTCTCACACCTTAGGAAGTAGATAGTAGAAGGGGATGTAGAATGGATGGAATCAAAAGCTAGAGGGGAAAAAGACCATGCAAAATTAGTTGAGTCGAGGGCTGAGGCCCTAGGCAGGGGAGATCCCTGCATTGGGTCTCAGTCTCCATCTCCTAAGCCCCCCTACAACAACAACGGGCAAGGGATTGGGGGGGTAACTAAGCAGTGCCAAAGGGAACGCACTATTTTCCTGTCAATATTGGGTTAATCAAACAAAAACTTGTAGCTTATGTAATTGTGACAAGGTAATATTATAACTAGCCCCCTCAATATTTTGATATCACAGTATATGAAACAAATTGTAAATATCAACACATTTATTTTTAAATTTTACAAAAATATGGAAGTGTTAACTCCAATCTGAAATGGACGGATCATATTCAGCAACTTGTCTTTAAAATTAGTGGTAAAAAATATGGTCACCTGGATTGATATACCTACATATAAAGGTATACATATACATGTACATTATACATATATTGTGTACATATAATGTATATGTACACAAAAATCAATAGATAAGATTCCAATATCCAATTTTGTATCTTAATCTCAACAATATATAATATAACAGATTTTGTGACAATCATGTTTTTCATATATAAACATCTAAAAGATACCAAGTTATATGGATGCTCAGACCAATATTTCATATGTACAGTGTACCATCCTTTTCAATTTCTCTATAAAATTGTCTGGGTGTAGGATCTGAATCCAGATGTGTATTTAGTTTGTATGTGCATTAAATTCTTTTGGTATTTAAGAAAGAGTAACGTGTTAAAAATATTCTTTCAATAACAGTAATATTCATCATCTCTCCCTGTGATAAATTGCTTTATATTGTTTGAGAATTTTCAAAGAAATTCCCAGGAAGAATGTTTCAAAGGCATAAGTTACAGTTTGTGTGTAAATATTGTCCATAGTCCTTAAAAGTTAGACATCCATACATTACCACAACTCATATAAAACTCTTAGAAACTAACAAAAATACAGCAGTAACCTTTATGTAGTATTTTTTACTCATCTCAAGAATGCAATACAGAGATCAAATTTCTTTCTTTGAATATTCAAATAGTAATATTTTGTGTCCAGTGTATGATCACAAGGTCCCTTTGGGATGCATTCTGAGATATTGTGTTCATTAAAGCACTGGTTGCATCTCATATTGCATGTGTAAATTTACTTTCTCAGACTCTCAATACTGCTTCCTCACTGACTGCATCTCCATTTGAGAAAAAAATAAATATATTTTCTTTCTACAAAGGCTGATACATTATTATCAGATGGGTGGCCCAATTTCAAATCTTATCAACCCAGTAACTGCAATATACTGTAGTTTTTACAGTCTGGGGTGACTGCAACACAGAAGCATTTGTCTTACATCAATATCTCTGTGCATAGTCATCTTATTCTAAATTGCAAAACAGGAATAAAAATTTCTGTGTGCACGTGAGTAAGTGGATGTGTGTGTGTGTGTGTGTGTGTGTGTGTGTGTGTGTGTGTGTGTGCGCATGTATGTTGATGTGTGTGTGTATGTGTGATGTGTGTGTGTTGATGTGTGTGTGTGTGTGTGTTAATGTGTGTGTGTGTGTGTGTGTTGATGTGTGTGTGTGTGTGTTGATGTGTTGATGTGTGTGTGTGTGTTGATGTGTTGATGTGTGTGTGTGTGTTGATGTGTTGATGTGTGTGTGATGTGTTGTGTGTGTGTGTGATGTGTGATGTGTGTGTGTGTTGATGTGTTGATGTGTGTGTGTGTTGATGTGTTGTGTGTGTGTGTGTTGATGTGTGTTGATGTGTTGATGTGTGTGTGTGTTGATGTGTTGTGTGATGTGTTGTGTGTGTGTGTGTTGATGTGTGATGTGTGTGTGTGTGTGTGTTGATGTGTGTGTGTGTGTGTGTGTGTGTGTTGATGTGTGTGTGTGTGTGATGTGTGTGTGTGTGTGGTGTGTGTGTGTGATGTGTGTGTGTGTGTGTGTGTGTGATGTGTTGTGATGTGTTGATGTGTGTGTGTGTTGATGTGTGTGTGTGTGTGTTGATGTGTGTGTGTGTGTGTGTTGATGTGTGTGTGTGTGTGTGTTGTGTGTGTGTGTGTGTTGTGTGTGTGTGTGTGTGTGATGTGTGTGTGTTGATGTGTTGATGTGTGTGTGTGTGATGTGTGTTGATGTGTGTGTGTGTTGATGTGTGTGTGTTGATGTGTTGATGTGTGTGTGTTGATGTGTTGATGTGTGTGTGTGTTGATGTGTGTGTGTGTGTGTGTTGTGTGTGTTGATGTGTGTGTGTGTGTGTGTGTGATGTGTGTGTGTGTGTGTGTGTATGTGTGTGTGTGTGTGTGTGTTGTGTGTGTGTGTGTGTGTGTGTGTGTGTGTGTGGTGTGTGTGTGTGTGTGTGTGTGTGTGTTGTGTTGTGTGTGTTGTGTGTGATGTGTGTGTGTGTGTGTGTGTGTGTGTGTGTGATGTGTGTGTGTGTGTGTGTGTATGTGTGTGTGTGTGTGTGTGGTGTGTGTGTGTGTTGTGTGTGTGTGTGTGTGTGTGTGTGTGTGTGTGTGTGTGTGTGTGTGTGTGTGTGATGTGTGTGTGTGTGTGTTGTGTGTGTGGTGTGTGTGTGTTGTGTGTGTGTGTGGTGTGTGTGTGTGTGTGTGTGTGTGTGTGTGTGTGTGTTGTGTGTGTGTGTGTGTGTGTGTGTGTGTGTGTGTGTGTGTGTGTGTGTGTGTGTGTGTGTGTGTGTGTGTGTGTGTGTGTGTGTGTGTGTGTGTGTGTGTGTGTGTGTGTTGTGTGTTGTGTGTGTGTGTGTGTGTGGTGTGTGTGTGTGTGTGTGTGTGTGTGTGTGTGGTGTGTGATGTGTGTGTGTGTGTGTGTGTGTGTGTGTGTGTGTGTGTGTGTGTGTGTTGTGTGTGTGTGTGTGTGTGTGTGTGTGTGTGTGTGTGTGTGTGTGTGTGTGTGTGTGTGTGTGTGTGTTGTGTGTGTGTTGTGTTGTGTGTGTGTGTGTTGATGTGTGTGTGTGTGTGTGTGTGTGTGTGTGTGTGTGTGTGTGTGTGTGTGTGTGATGTGTGTGTGTGTGTTGATGTGTGATGTGTGTGTTGTTGATGTGTGATGTGTGATGTGTGTGTGTGTGATGTGTGTGTGTGTGTGTGTGTTGTGTTGATGTGTTGTGTGTGTGTGATGTGTTGTGTGTGTGTGTGTGATGTGTTGATGTGTGTGTGTGTGTTGATGTGTTGATGTGTGTGTGTGTGTGATTGTGTGTGATATGTGTGTGTGTGTTGATGTGTTGATGTGTGTGTGTGTGTGATGTTGTGTGTGTGTGTGTTGATGTGTGTGTGTGTGTGTGTGTGTGTGTTGATGTGTGTGTGTGTGTGTGTGTGTGTGTGTGTTGTGTGTGATTGTGTGTGTGTGTGTGTGTGTGGTGTGTGTGTGTGTGTGTGTGTGTGTGTGTGGTGTGTGTGTGGTTGTGTGTGTTGTGTGTGTGTGTGTGTGTGTGTGTATTGGTGTGTGTGTGTGTGTGTGGTGTGTGTGTGTGTTGATGTGTGTGCGTGTTGGTGGTGTGTGTGTGGGGGGGGTATGTGTGTGTGGTGGGGGGGGTATGTGTATGTGTGTGGGTATGTGTATGTGTGTGGGTATGTGTATGTGTGTGGGTATGTGTATGAGTATGGGTATATGTGTATGTGCATATGTGTGTGTTTGTATGTTTGTATTTCTTGCATGCCATGAGGGCAGCCAAATTTCCTGACTGAAAATATCTCTGGGTAAATTTTCTAAACCATTTTTGCATGAAGCAGTTGCAATTAAATGGCTTAAACAGAACTTCAGCTACAAAGTTGTGTGCCAGACCTATGGTAAAACTAAAAGCAAATGAAATTCCTCTACAGTAATAGAATTCATCTTGAGCAAGTGCAGCTTTACACAGAGGTGACTGTTATACAGCCCTCCTATAAACTGCCCTGAAAAGGCTATTCTTTCCATGGTAAAAATACACACTACTGG